AAATGAGTGAACCAAGATTCAATTGAAGAGGAGATATTCATTTGTCTCAATCAGTGGCGGCCCTTCCTACAGGCGACATAGGCGCTTTCCTAGGGCGCCACCTTGTGAGGGGCGCCAAATATGCGGCGAGAAAAAAATTATAATAAAAATTATAATGTCTATTTATTTTTTCAACAATTTTGCCATCCCTCTATCTACAACAATACTTTAACATAAGAAATAAATTAAACTTAATAAAAGAAATGACAATTCTGACATGACCTTTAGCTGTTACACATCACGGTCACAACATGCTAGCGAGCACACTGATGTGCAGTCGGTCGGTGGGCTGTGTGTCAACGGGTTACTATGGTTACTATGGTTACTATGGTTACAGCTACAGTCCATGGAAAATGAAACAGCAAAAGCCTTTCGGGGCGCACTTTCGAAAGCGCAGAAAAGAAGAGCAGGAGAAACGTGCAAAAGAGAAAGATGCGTAATTTTGATTATATATTTATTAAATTCACCGAGCATTCATGATATAATCCTGCTGGCTAGCAGTAACATCATGTCATCTTACTAGTAAGCTAACGTTAAGCAGCAGTGAGGGCTAGGTCTGGTCGATATTAACATGCAGTCGGCTACAATATTGTCATAAAAAGACTGTCGTAAGACTGGTTCAGACTGCTGGCCTGGGTTGGCCTTGACTGGCTGCTTGTTTTTCGAGAAAAACACTATACAAGTTGATGCTAGCTACAGTATATAGCACTTTGCATCTCATTGTGTGCTATGAAATTAAAAATTGAGTGGATGTGAAAAGTCTGTCAAAATTAAAATGCTTAGCAAACTTAATAATAATATCATTTGAAAAATGGAAATGATTTACTCCATGTTGATAATACACTTGTTTCTTATATAATTTTAGATTCACTATTAAAATATTTGGGACCACCTGCAGCCAAATCATCAGACCAGGAACAGCCATGCACCTCAGCTGCTCTGGTTTCCTCAGGTGAGTTTAATGTGTCAGTGAATGTTTGTGATGATAAAAATGTATTGACTTACATGAAAATGACAATATGTTGTGCCATGTCTCATCCAGTCAATGTATTTGCTCTTGTGTGTTCTCTCTATGTTTATGGACCTAGAGCCACCAGAAGAGACACAACAAGAGCATGCTGCTCTTCCTGCCAACCTCACATCACATTTTACAGAATCTAATTTTGCACACAATGTTTTATTGTTAGTTTAATTTTTAGTTTTGATTCTTTAGTGTGCACTTTTTGTTCTCAGATGTTGCACTACTGTTAAAAATATGTTTAAAAGTTTATTTTTTGTATATTTATTATTAACAGGTTTATTCTTTTGCACATATTGTTATATTGTTTGTATTATCATAGTTTAAATACATAAGCAATTCCTTGGACATAAGTTCTTTTCTCGTGGGGATAGGGCGCTATCAGTAAAGCTCGCCTAGGGCACCAAATGGTCTCAATAATAGTGCGTAAATCACAGACCTGTGAACACTCTTTATAAGAAAAATTTATTTAATAAAAAATTAGTCATCAAACATGGACGCCAACTTCTGCATTTATAACAATTCAAATTCAGGGAACTGCTAAAAATAGAGACTGCAAGTCCAATTAGAACCTGTAGAAAAAACTAACACTATGGTAAATCTTTTTCAAACCAAATTGAGGAACTTTTAAAGTGATTGATCAAATTTCCCTGCATTCTTTTAACTAATCAGTGTGAAATGAAGCCATTTCCTACCTGGAAGTTTCTCCAGGGCCTCGCTGACGTCGCTTCCAACTCTTGAAGCAACAGGACAGAAAACCAGAAGGTAGTCACTTTCTTCTGGAGAGTTCACCTCAGTATGACCAATGCTTTCAATCTTTGCCACAAACTCAAGATGAGCATCATTAGTTTTTCCCGCCAAGATGACAAAGAACTTTTTCTGGGGCACTAAAGACAGAGAGGAATATTTGAGTCATTAATGCACTGTAACATAGTTTAGTGTAGCTACACCATCAGACCCAGATAAAAGGAAATATTGCCCAAAAAAGATCTTGTGCTAGATTCAGCACAAATTGTAGAAAGTATGTTACACAACCCCGAACTTCACTATTTGCATACATAAGTTCAACTCAAAGTCACTATGTGTTGAATTTCCATATGATTATTTTAAAATGATGATCAACTTAAAAAATGCTGATTGCATAAGTTTTTGTGTCAGTGAAGGTGTCCAATATAAAAGTGAACAAATCTTCAAAGCACAGACTTTGTTATTTCCTGGTTAAAATCTACTGTGTGTACACAAAAGCCAGAGAATCAATCATGAAGCACTAACTCTGTTGCAGACAGGCTGTTGCTGAATATCTCAAAAGCACAATTACTGAGGTTGTGAAGTAACTTTGGTCATTACCCTAGCTTTATATTCTTATTAAATTCTTTAGTTTGTTCTTACATTAAAGCCCAGTATTGATATGAGGAGTGATTGCAGCAACCAGAAAGAGGATAGACTAGAAAAAATCTGACCTGAAATCTGAAGTTCATGATTGCTGTCACGCTTCCTATGCATGAAATTAATTAATTCGACTTCAAAGATAGAGAACTAAAGAAAGAAAGAAAGAATAGAAAATAATTAATGAAATTACATCATGTACATAATTTCAGAGGTGAACTACAGTAATGATCCCTTATCCCTTAATATCACAATACCAGTGCCCTCACCAGGGATTGTGTGATAGTATTAGATCAGTAAATCTAGTCATTACCTTGGAAACTCCAAGATACTTCTGGACATCACACCATGCAGTATCATTTCGGTTGGACGTCAGGAGTTTGTCCTCATAGAACAGACAGTCCACAGTAACCTTAACATTGGGGTTGTCCACCAGTCTTCTGCTTTCAGTTAAAACTTGGACAGGATTGAAGGTGTGATGCATCACGACCAGAATTGCTGGTTTACCACCTGTAAGCACAGAGATAACACAACCAGATGAGTGAACCGAGATTCAATTGAAGAGGAGATATTCATTTGTCTCAATCAGTGGCGGTCCTTCCTACAGGCGACATAGGCGCTTTCCTAGGGCGCCACCTTGTGAGGGGCGCCAAATATGCGGCGAGAAAAAAATTATAATAAAAATTATAATGTCTATTTATTTTTTCAACAACACAACCAGATGAGTGAAAGAAGATTCAATTTAAGAGGGAACATCAGTTTACTGGCTCAGCTGTGACACTCACTCCATATTGTCGTATTAAAGTGCATTATGATTTCAGTTTTTTGCCACAGTATTTTAACATGCATCAAATGTGGACACACAGCACAATTTTAGATTGAAATGAATGAACTGATTGATCAAATTTCCCTGTATTCCTTTAACTAATCAGTGTGAAATGAAGCCATTTTCTACCTTGAATCTTCTCCACGGCCTCGTTGACGACCGTTCCAACTCTTGAAGCAACAGGACAGAAAACCAGAAGGTAGTCACTTTCTTCTGGAGAGTTCACCTCAGTTTGGCCAATGCTTTCAAGCTTCGCCACAAACTCTAGATGAGCATCATTAGTTCTTCCCGCCAAAATGACAAAGAACTTTTTCCAGGAGACTAAAGACAGAGAGGAATATTTGAGTCATTACTGCACTGTAACATAGTTTAGTGTAGCTACACCATCAGACCCAGATAAAAGGAAATATTGCCCAAAAAAGATCTTGGGCTAGATTCAGCACAAATTGGAGGTGTTTTACAAATCACTGAACTTTACTACTTTCATAAATATATTAGTCAATATCAGTATTTGTTGAATTTCCATATGAATATTTTAAAAGGATGATCATCTTAAAAAATACTGATTACATAAGTTTTTGCTTTGTTTTTGTCAGTGGAGGTGTCCAATATATACATAAACTAATCATAAAAGCATACTGAGACTGAGACTAAAAGCTACTGCATGCGCACAAAAACCAGATAACCAATAGTGAAACATTAAATCTGTTGCAGACAGGCTGTTGCTGTATGCTGAGAAAAACATCCAAAGGTTTTCTTACTGCAGCACCTCAGACCTCCCTCCTCAGGCACCTCTCACTCAGTTATTATCGCTCCCTGCTGGTCGGAGGATTTATTGTAAATTGTAAATTGTTCTGCTCAACTCATTCACCTCTCATAACTTCCTCATAACGTGGGAGGCAAACTGAATTCAGCTGTAAATTAGTTTCTAATTCTGTGTGAAATATGAAATTTTATGACCAGAAAACCAAAACAAAGAGCTGAAAGACACAGAAACTGTTGATGATTATCTGTAGTTTGATCACTACGAGCAACCCCTTTCACTTTACATGTTGACAGCTGATCCATGTTGTCAATTTAACAAAACAGTACATTTGTTTTCTCACCAGTTTCTGCTTTCTGGGCCATGTCTCTGAGGAAGAGATACATAAACAGACAGAAACCTTTAGTCAAAATCATTTAACAAAATGAAATAAAGCTAAATAAGGAGCAGGTGTATATGCGTCACAAATTCCTTTGTCACAGCTGCTCTGCCCAGCCCACAAAACAAAGTTACAAAGAAAGTAGATGTATATAACCTACAATACTCAGATATATGTCGAGTGTCAGCAGGTCACAACCTCACAGGATTCATTATTCAAAACATTTTGTGTTTGCCTACTTACGAAACAGATTGATTTTTTCTTTGTGATGTTTCTGACACTTCCATTCCACACTCGACGGGTAAGTAATTGTTCCTCCCTATGAGTGCAGCACCTTCACTTTTGCTTTGACAAGGAAGCTGTTCTCAAGTTGACCACTAGAGGAAGTGCAGAGATGAGACTGTGTTAGGGTTTAGTAATGGATGAGAAAAGACCACAGTAGGAGGAGAGAGTAACTGCAGACCACATATAGGCTATAACATAGAGCTGGTGGTATACACGGGCACTGGGAGTTACTATGTGTTGTTTTTAGATTACATAAGTAGTTTACTATGTTAGAGTCCCTTCACATTGGGAGTGGAGGAGGTATAAACATGATCAGGTTCAGCTTTAACCAGGTTCGCTGTAGAGTATATCTGTTTCTGTGTTAACTTACTTACTTTTTTTCAAAATATCACTCTAGGAGAACAACTTCTGCTCACACTTCCATAAGACCTGGCTTATAAGGCCTAATAATACATCCATGTGTTGGCCTCCATCCTCAGGAGTTGGTTGAGATCAAACCAGAGAACTTAGAGTGATTTATTTGACTTATATATACATCAGGTTGCTTGAAATTGTATATTGTTATATTGCCTCATAACATTATGAGGAAATGTTTCTTTAAATGTTTATAGTGTTACAGATTCCTTTCACCAAATATGTATGCCGATTCACCACAGTGCTGCTGACTGCTGCTGCTTGTAAGCAGAAATAGATGGAAATACATCTGGTTGATGCATTCGAACATTTTGGTAGAAAAACAAAATATAAAAAGTAGCCTTTCTTTTAGAAATCAAACAGCGAAAAGCTGCATCAACAGCATGAGGAGGATCAGGCGTAATTGATCATTTTAATTGATGTGTCAGTGAATTTATTAAAATATTATGTGATGACTGAATGTAAGAAACATGTCGAATGAATACATCCTACAAGAATCCTAATCATGTTTATCAAATAATATGTCATCTACCACGCTCTCTGGTCCCCTAAATGCTAAATCTCAGTAACATAGTATAAGTGTATTAGATTTCTGGAAGAATCAATAGCTGTCTTTTCATTCCAAACAATCACAACAGCAGCTCATGTTTCTCCAACCTACTGTGTATTTGAGTCTATCTTACTCAGTGAGCTCCTGCTGTGTTTGGTTGGAATTAAATGCTGTGCACTCACGGTTCATGATGACTCACAACTGAGAAGCACTCAAAGAAAATTCATATTTTCCATGCTGCAGTTGCCACATTTATAAGGTCTAATTTGTCTGAGCTAAAGCCTCTTCTACTTGGCCTAGTACTCAATAACTAGGCCTAGTTAAAGCATAAGGGGTATATACACCTTAAGAGGTTCTTTATAACCTGATGTTTAGGAAAGGAGTCTCTTGTGTCCTAGGTGACAATGATACTGCAAACTCCTTAATTTGTGTTTGTGTCAAATTACCACCCAGCAAACCTGAAGTTATATAATATTTCAGTACGTAAATGACGGCTATCACTTTTTCAAGATGTCCAGGTTTGGGTCTGGCACTTTGCTGCCATTGTCATATCAAATAAAAAGGCAAAAAAGTATATTAGAAAATTTAAATGTAATATTGTTCTGTTCATTTGCAGTGCATCCACTGCTTCACTTGAGCTAAGAGGTGAATTCAGATTTGTCATTGTGGTAATGTTTCTGTGAGGCATTAGCATTTTAAAGGTCAAACAAATATTCTTTGATTTTGGGTTAGTATCATAACTGTCTGTTCAGCAAAGAGAGCAAGTTTGGATGAAAAAATCTTTAATAACATGTTATAATAGGCATTTATTACACAATGTACAGTAGCTCCTTTTTGCCCCCCAAGCACTTATATAACCATGCCAAAGGGTACACACCTGGTCTTATGAGGGCTAGAAGTTGTGATCACATTTAATTAATAACTTGGGAAAAGCTGCAAATGTATTGAGCCTACAGTATAATTCTATACTTGTTTATGCATATGTGTCAAGGGGCAATAATTCCATTTTGGTACCTCTCACTAATAAGACATATTTCATGATTTTCTAAATTATAACTCATGGCTTTATTATAAAATTGGAAAATTGCATCTGTAGAGAATAGCATCACAACAGTATAACACAGCATCACAATATAGTTTGGCAACACAGTATCCCTTGTGAAACAAAGTGTAGAAAAATCTGAGTAAACTTAGAATGAAGTAAATATCTGTAAGTATTATCAAGAATTTTTTATTTTATTTTTATTATTTACTTACTCTCACTATGATGCTAAAATTGTGTGAGGTCAGTGATGTAGATACACAGCATAGGTCAGTGCTGTAGATACAATGCATAGGCTATTGCTGTACATGCAGGTCAGAGGTCAGTGCTGTAGATACAGGACATAGGTTGGTGCTGTAGATGCAGGTCAGAGGTCTGTACTGTGTATTTGATTCATATAGTAGTAACAATCATGATATTGTTAATGTTAACTTCAGTGCGTCGTCTAGGATTTTTTTTAGCAGCGGCAGCAGGCCCATCCGAACCGCCGCTCCAAAATCAACATAGAGGAAACACTGAACTTTATTGCGTAATTTTTGTTTAAATTTAGTTAAGTCCAAAAATGTTATTCTGTTAAAGATTTGATTGAGTCCATTTGACAATAATACCCAAGTTACAAAGCTCAGGACATATACAGGACAGAAGTCAGTGCTGTAGATACAGGGCATAGGTTATTGCTGTACATGTAGGTCAGAGATACCCAACTTAAAGAGCTCAGGACAAATACAGGACAGAAGTCAGTGATGAGGTCATAGGTCATTGCTGTAGATACAGAGCATAGGTCGGTGCTGTACATGAAGGTCAGAGGTCGGTGCTGTAGATACAGGGCATAGGACATTGCTGTAGATACAGGGCACATGTCATTATTGTAGACAGGGCATAGGTCAATGCTGTACATGCAGGTCAGAGGTCAGTGCTGTAGTTACAGGGAATGGGTTGGTGCTGTAGATATATGTCATAGGTCGGTGCTGTAGCTACAGGACAGAAGTCAGTGCTGTGGATACAGGGCATAGGTCAATGCCATACATGCAGGTCAGAGGTCAGTGCTGTAGATACAGGGAATGGGTTGGTGTTGTAGATATATGTCATAGGTCGGTGCTGTAGCTACAGGACAGAAGTCAGTGCTCTGGATACAGGGCATAGGACATTGCTGTAGCTACAGGGCACACGTCAATGCTGTAGATACAGGGCATAGGTCAATGCCATACATGCAGGTCAGAGGTCAGTGCTGTGGATACAGGGCATATGTCAGTGCTGGAGATTCAATTCAATTCAATTCAATGTTATTTGTATAGCGCCAATTCATAACAGAAGTTATCTCAGGACACTTTTCAAATAGAGCAGGTCTAGACCGAACTCTTTAAAACATTATTTACAGAGACCCAACAGTACCACCATGAGCAAGCACTTGGCGACAAGGGCAAGGAAAAACTGCCTGTTAAAAGGCAGAAACCTAGGACAGATCCTTCGGCTCTAGGTGGGTGGTCGTCTGTCTCGACCAGTTGGGGTGAGCGATGCAGGTCAGAGGTCTATACTGTCTATTTTATACATATAGTACGAACAATAATGATATTATTGATATTAACTTTATTTCGTATTTTTTAGTGAAGTACAATAATTTGACACTAATTAGTGTCATTGTAATCTCTGTCAGTCTTTTTTTTGCTTATTATTGACCAATTTTGGTTGGTATCTTCTGATGAAAATCAGATTCTTGCTGGGACTCTTTCAGAAGCTGTGCCTGTGAGTTTTATCTACGGCAGCTGTAGATGCAGCAATCTACATTATTATTACATTATTAATTACATTATACTATTAATTTATTATTATTAATGCAATAACCTTACTGTATAACAATGCATTTTATAGGCTCATTTTAAATCTTAAAAGAAGTCCCCCACTGTTCTGTTCTTTTCCAAAAAAAATACGTTTACATAGGACTTCCACAATTTACATTTCCGAATCGTGGTTTTTCCTACAGCCCGTGAAGGCAGCAGCAGATGCGGGTCTTATTTGTTCTCTCCGGCAGGAGGGCGTTCCGCTGGAGAAGATACAAACAGTGTGCTGAATTATGCCGGTGGTCGTGTGTACTGGTTCATATTTAGATGCTGTCAAAGCTTAGTTTCTGCCTCAGAGTTGTGGGGGGGGTTTCGGACACCCGGATCAGGCCTTCCTCGCTGTTCAGCCTACCTGGTGGTTATCACTGCCGGGGGAAAGGCGACAGAGGAGGCCAGGCTCGAAGACATGGAGGCTAAGCGTCCTTGCAGAGGGAGTGAGCTGTAGGACGGTAGGCTCTCTCTCTCTCTCTCTCTCTCTCTGTCTCTCTCTCTCACTCATTTCTTCCTCCGTTAAGAAACAATGAAAGGCAGACAGGAGAGGTTTTATGGTGTGTAGTAGCAGAACACCTTCTTATCTGCCAGCTAACACTAGTTGGGCTTTATGTGCAGTTTGCAGACCCGTCGTCGTCAAAAGCAAAATGTTATTATTATTATTATTTTTATCCACACAGACAATGATGATGGTGGTTTTAAGTGTCTTTGCTTCAGTCCTGGAAATGCTGGATTTTTTTTAATTTTTTTTTTTACTGGACCGAGATTTAAGAAAAAAACATAATACACTTAAACTGTTTATTTTTCCACAGTTGGACATTTTCTGTCGTTATTTGAGAGCTCTGTTCTGTCTTTTTTTTCTTTACCGTTACACCAGCAGGCAGTGGCCTTCAACGTGACATGCGAGGGGACACACACACACACACACACACACAAACACCGTTCAAATGTCAAGTATGATGGAAATACACTGTAAACACACCGGCCGCCGTACAGCAGCTGCAGGCGCACACTGCATGTCAGCAGAACCAGTGTTTGGTACTTTAAAGAGCCTTTATGGAGAAAGTCTCAATGTTTTTAGAAGAAAAATATGAATTTGCACTCTTTATCGAGGTAATAAAAGGTAATATAACTGTAATAGTGGTGGAGGAAGTATCTCATTCATTATTCTTTTAATTAAATGAAAGTTGTAGTACTAGTAAGTGTAAAAACCCTGCTTTGAATTAAAACTACATTAGTATTCGCATCCAAAAAGTATTTACTCAAACAACTATATACTGCTGGATTATACTGATTGATGCATCACAGCTTCACCTACAATAATATATGACAATGTATGAGTGGATTTATATTTTTTATTTATAATATTATTCTGCAAAGTAACTGATTTAAGTTATCAAATAACTAAATAGAAGAAGTCCGAGTCAAAATTGTACCAAAGTACAGTAGTAGTTGTCGTCATGGCTCCACATGTAAACACAGAACCTTTGAAGAAACTTTACTCTGCATCTGTGACATTGTTGTTGTGAATGTGGAGATTTATTTAGGTAATAACAGTATCTCAATAAAATTACACTAAATTACAGTGTTTGAGAGTCAGATTTGTTTACATTGGGCAATTACGGGTCTAATTAATCTCTTAAAATTGGCTTAGTGAGGCTTTAAAGGGATTATGTCCTCTGGCGTATTGTTCAAGCATTTGTGTCTAAAATAACACTTAATTTAAAACAGGATCTGTATTTTATTATCTTGCTATGTAGTTCAAAGATCCATAATAAATGTGTGTACTGATGACAAAACACGTTAGGGAAGTTTAAAAATAAGGTATGTAAATCTGAAAATGATAACATAGATTAAAGCAAAGTAAAAAACAACAACTAATAACTGCAAGTAGTTCCAAATTTTACTTACCTAAAAGTCTCTGACAAAACAAAAACTTTAATTGTTGTATACAGTGAGCCAAATGTGCAAATTCACAATTATTATCATTAAACTGAAGAAAAACATCAATACTCGTTGACTATTTGTGTCACTGGGTTTCATGCATCAGTAGAAGTTTTATAGGAATATTCCTAAAATTATAAGCTAGGACCCAGAATGAATCCTTGATGCTTTTAAAACCACCACACACGTTTAGATGTTCTCTCTTTTCTCACCTTTCAGGGGAGACTTCTACAGCGTGTTGGCACCCACAGAATGGACCCTGCTCACATTGGAGGGGATATGTCACCTTTGTATATGCCAAGAAAGAGAAAGTCTGTCCAGTCGCAACCTAAAAGTGGAGTGCCATGTCCAGGTAAAGAAAACCGCTTTATTCAAATCATTACGAGCAGGGTGCAGCTGACATTGTGTGAGTTTAAACAGGGAATAGGATGTCATTTCACCCCTCTGATGTTAAATCAAGTTGATTTTCACCTCTCTAACAGTTGTTCAGCGGATGCCAGAAAGAACCTGTGAATTAAATTCAGCTGGATATCCCAAGGTGAGAATGAACTCACGCACTCTGAATGTGGGTGTCCATTTCCGTCTTCTAATACTGAGAATCTGTTAACTTTATGCGTACCGTTGGATGTCCGCTTCACAGTTCTGTACTTGAATGTTTCAGAATGACGAGTCTCAAGCCCAGGATGCTCTAAAGATGAAAAGAACATATGGTAGAAAGAGGTAAGAGATCATTATGGATTTGTATATTTGCATGACGAGTTGCATGACAGATACTGCATACTTAGTGTGATAATGATTGTATCTGGTGACATTAAAAGTTATTACTCTTTTCAAAATGTCAGATATAAATGCAAAGTCACCAGCTGAGACATCCTCTACTCTTCCTACCTGGAACTGTTTGCATCAGCTGATTTCATAACTAGCTTAAGTTAGTGTTGAGATATACTCATCACCAGATTAAACCAGGTTACGTCGTACAGGTTGTAAACAGACTAAACTTTTCAACCTGGCTCGTTGCATATGACTGCAAAACACTGATAAACGTACGCAGTCTGCCCCAGAAATTCAGTGTCAGCAGTTATTACACACCAGCCGGCTTCACTTGATATTCATGATGATGTAGACAGCGTGTCGGCTTAGGGAAGTGCATAATACAAACTAAAGAATGAAAGAAAATCATGCAATACACCATTTTTGGATCAGCAGTGTCTAATCCAACAAGCTAACATAGCAGAGACTTGTAATGATGAATAAAAAGTCAGTGATCTGGCTTAATTTCAAACGTACTCTTCAGGAGTTTTGAACTGGTTATGAAACAGGCTCAGTTGAATAACCTACATAAACAAGACCATCAGCGAGAAGATTCCCCCTCAGTTCCTCAGAAAGAGGTCAGCCTTTGTTATACACTGTTACAATGTGTGGCATGGCCAAAGGTGAGCTATGTTAAGCTTCATGCCCTGGAATGCATCCAATATGCAAGTTAACACACTGTTGTTACATGATTAATCCCATTAGGTATATAATATGTTTACCTTTACTGATTCTAATTTTATTCCAACTGGACAGTGATTTTTGTGAGTGTGAGCTGGACTGTTGCATGTCTTGTCTGGAGAATTTGGCCGGTGTTAGTAGATCTCATTTGTCATCATGTCAACTTAAAGCTGCCAGTCCAGCTCACAAATCATGTGGCGTGATTCAGCGCTTCCACTTGTTATTTATTAAACGTCACTGTACCACACAATGCAGTGACCATGCCTGACTAAAACATCTTAATTTCCCTTTAAATGTAACACTTTACTTTGCTGCACTGTGCATCACTTTCCCACTATAGATCAGTTATATAATAAATGGGTAATATTAACTTTAATTTCTGAAATAATAAGTGTAGAATATTGTTTATCAGGTACGAGGACCTCCAGAGTGTCTCCATAGGAACAGTCGATTACCCAACCACCAGCTGCTCAGTGATGTCATCAGGCGGCCTGGCCAATGGGGCGGACCCAGGCTCCATGGCTCCGCCCACTGCCAGGCTGCCTCCGAGACTGGTGGCAAAGGACGTGTGGCCTCAAGGCCCAGAGGCCAGCAGGGAGCAGTCCCAGCCTCAGGACCAGAGCTGGAACTCCAGCAGGGACAGAGGCCCCGACGCCTGGGCCCCGGGTAGAGACCGACCGCAGGAGCAGGTGTGGAACTCTGGCAGAGACCGTGCGGGACACTCCAGTCAAGACCAGACGTGGATTCCAGGCAGGGACAGGCCCCACGCCGGACCGGACCAGGCCTGGATGACGGGCCGGGACCGAGGTCCTGAGCAAGGCTGGGCGGCCGGCAGAGATCGAGGCCAGGATCAGGCTTGGAACGCAGGAAGGGATCCAGGAAGAGACCGGGCTTCCTCAGGGCCAGAGCAGGCGTGGGGAACTGGTCGAAGCCAAGAGCAAACCTGGAGCAACACAAGCAGAGACAGGGGCCACGTCTGGAGACCTGGTGGGTACTCATGATATACACACTACTCTCAGCCAACATGGAGCGAGTTTATATCAGCTTCTTAAAGATCCCATTTTCCTTTTTTACAATTAGTTTGTAAAATATGATACAAAACAGGTTTGGAAAAATATTTTTTTTAAGTTTTGCAGGTTAATTTGAAGGCTAAAGTCCTTAAAAACTGGACCCTGATTGGCTCTTAAACAGCTCCTCTACTTTTCTACAAAGTGTCCTGTTCTGATACCATCTGTCTGTATATGAATACTATGTAATAGTATTGAAAGATTCCTGAATATGTGTGTGTGTTTTGGAGTTGTTCTTGCATGCATTTCTCAGTTTTGTGGTTCTGGCGACTGAATTTGTTCTGCCTGTGTTTCTTTGAAGACTTGAACATGAAGAAAGTCCAGAGAGTCGACATGGAGCAAAGCCCGACTGTTAATAACTTCCCACAGCCACCAGAGGGCCGAGACTCTTGTAAGTTGAGACACATATCACTATTCAGATTGCCAAAATAAAGCTGGAATAGACGACGCAGTCAGTAAATAACAAATATTTACGATAAATCTGACCGAATTAATATGACGTGGACTGACTTCTTATTGTGTTTGGCAGCAGGATGATAAGACACTTAAGTGAGTCTTCCGATGGTCCGTACCCACTGGCAGTGTTAGGTCACGAGAGGGCACCATTTTATTCCAGTGATTGCGCCGTTATTCTTTCAACTTAAGTAACGATATTAAGAGCCTGCAATCACTCATATTTATTATTACTGAGATCAAATTTACTTCCTGTAATATTTTTGGCAGCATTCAAACTAATCAATGAGGAAATGAGAGTGTTTCCCTGCTGTAGGATGTAACTGAAGCTATTTGCACAGGAGGAAACATAATGAGGGTATAATGATCTGTTGATAATGAGAACTATCAATTTGAAGGGGTTTAATAGTCTGGATGATAAATACCAGAACCAGCAAACATTTTCTTATCCACACATTGTTCGGACAAATTGATTTTCTTGATGAAGAATTTTGAACAGCAACAGAAAAGCCATTAAAAGACTGTGAAAATATGTTCTCTATCAAAATAAAATGTCGATATCTGATATAATGTATTTCAGGTTCAGATGCAGCCAGTGTTGGAGAGGCCTCGACCGCCCAACCCAGCGAGGAGCAGAAACCCCCCATCCCCTCCACCAAGAAGGAGCCTCCAACCTACCCTCCAGGTGAGACAGGCTGACCAACCGCTGCTGTTTATATCTCAGTAGAAGAACCTCCTCATATATATATATACATCCCCTCTGTCGCTACTAAAATGACTCTTCCCAGACGATGAATTATGAAATAAAAGTGATTTTGTGTTTAATTGATTGAAACAGTTGGCACAAGAATAAATGTAGCAAAGAAATTCTAAAACAAAATAAGAAAATAGGTATTCACAGTAAAAATCTAATGAAAATTGGTATGATTTCAGCAGGGTAATTAACATTGTGCAGTAATATAATAACTCAGACGTCATGTGAGCATACAAAACCTTCTCAACATAAAAATAAAATAACATCTTTATTTGTTGCCATCCACCAGGGAGTCAAGAGGAGCGTTGGCAGCTCCAGATTGTGGCCAAAGGCAGAGTCACCTGTCCGAAATGTAAAAGTGTGAGCAGGAAGACAGTGGACGGGCTGAAGAAACACATGGAGAACTGCAGACTGGTGAGCACATATACAGTATATACATATACATACATATATAATCCCTGCGGTTAACTATAGTTGACATACGCCTCTTACAATCACATTATCTACATGCGATGGGGTAATTGAGTTGGTTTGTTGCATACACGCTGTACAAATTGTAACTTGAATCTGTTGTGTGCAGCAACCCTTCACATGTCAACACTGTGGGAAGCAGCTGAAGTCTTCAACAGGGATGAAGTATCACATCATGGCTGACCACAGCCATCTGGTAAGGCTGTTCAGCTCGGCCTTCTTTCATTTCTAACTCAGACACACAGTTAGCAGCAGATTGCAGATTTTATTGTCAGCTGTACCATTTCTTCTTGTGTCACGATTGTAGTCCACCTCTGGATAAATAAAGCTTTCTTTTAAGTGTTTCTTTTCATGCTTAGACGCATTAGTCCTTCACAAAAGTGGACACTGACAGTCAAAACACACATTTCCTTCAGTTTGAGGGTTAGTTTATGGTGCTGCTGCCTCTGTTTGTCTGCTTTTAGCCCTCAGCAGAAGATGCCAAGGACCTGGATGATCGTGTCATCAAAGACAAACTGCGTAAAATCCTGAAGAGACTGGGCAAACTAAAATGCTCTAAAGAGGTAAACTGGCCAATCATATTCATTTAACAAAAGGAAATTTATTCAAATAAGATGCTATCATCATTTTTTTTTCTTCTGTTCAGGGCTGTAGTGCTGCCTTCACCAGCATCATGGGCTATGTGTACCACATGAAGAAGTGTGGGAAGGAGGAGTCTGAGCTGGAGAAGATGCTGCTGAACTGCTCTCACTGTGGGAAGACGTACAAGTCCAAGGCTGGTCTGGAGTACCACCTGAAATCAGAGCATGCCCCAGTAAGTCATGTGCTTTCAGATGTCAGATTAAAGAAACACTTTAACTTGTGCGCGTGTATTACTCAAATAAAGTCAACATGCTTTACATCTAAGGAAATCCAAACGAAATAACGCTGACTGGGTTGCTCATAATATATTTAAATACCCCTCCTGTCTACCCAGACGCCCCCGAAGAGCGAGGAAGACGAGGCACTGAAGGCCCAGAGGGAGGCCAACCCAGAGAGGACGGCCAGCGGCAGGGTGCAGCGAGCGTCGGCTCAGGTGGCAAACTTCCACCTGGCGGAGATTGCCAACAACGATCTTCCCAAAGACTGGCCCAAGAGGAAGTTTCAGTCGGACCTGGTGCCAGATGACAAAAAGGCAAGAGAAGATTCAGTTTGTCTTAAATGTATACGTCCAGCTGCAAGATATATGAGGGCATGTTTGTTTATCATATAATATTTATTCATTCAACTAGTAGGAATTTGGGTCGATTGAGGAGATCTTTATCCTGTTTTGAAGGCCAAACAGACTTAAAGGAGAAAAGTTCCCCCTGATGTCAGTATATACTGAAGATATAAATCTGCTTAAATTGGCTTTTACACGTTCATTGACCTCCTCTTGTTCCTGCTGTCCTTCCCCAGCTGAAATACGCCCGACCAGGCCTGCCGGCCTTCAGCCAAGAGGTGCTCAGGAAGTGGAAGAATGAGGTGAAGCTGCAGAGGAAAGTCCAGTGTCCCAACCAGGTAGAGAACAACACTACACTCAACAGGGGTTAAAGTTCAAGTCAGAATTTGCTGAATTGTATTTCCTGTTTGGTTGCGATCACTGCTGCGTGTGCAGCCTGGTTAGTGGAGTTTCTTTGTGTGCTTTATTTATTAGGAATTTGTTTGTTCATCTTATTAATTCTTCATTCAAGTCAGGTTTTTGACACGTCTTAAAGACGTATAAGAGGAATTAAGTTAACGTTATTTGTATAAAGTCTTGCTTTTAAATGTCTTTTGTGGAAAGTTTTCTATTGATCACGCTGCCACAACTACAAAACAAAACCGACATGGACCCAGTACTGATTTTCCTTCAAATCCCTTTTGTTTTTTGCCAGTATGAATGTGAAATATTTTATATTAAATTGCATTTTATAATGACCTTAAAAAGGTCTTAGAGGTTAAGAATTGAACCTGTTGACTACTGCAAAAACCCTGTAGTAGTATTTCTATTACATATTTATTTTAACCTCAGATTGTTTCCTTTTGTTTAAATCACAGAATCTGATTTAGTGCAGAACTCCCCTAATGTTACATCATTGGTTTCTTCCTCAGGGTTGTGGCTCTACCTACACCAGTGTGTCTGGACTGAAGGCTCATCTGGGACTCTGCACAAGGGTACGTCAGTTTTTTTCTTTATCCATTGAATGTACGTAAGTTATGTAAAAGATATGCATAGTAAAGTAAATATATAAAAATCTAATCTAAGAATAATAAACTGTACTGAAGTTCTCACGTGTTGCTCATTGTGGCCTTGTTGAGCTTTGCTCTTGTTAGGCATCTGCATTGGCCTTCATGTACACAGATGAGCTCTTTCCTCAGATTCCTGGAGTGTTATTTTTGTATGTTTTTATAACTAGATATACACACTCACAAGATTAAATGGAGGAGACTGTGTGGATTTGTCAAATAAGTCCTTCATTAATCCTTCAGTCTGGTCCATTTATTACAACGTAAAATCACATTCTTTACTTCTGTGACGACAATAACGAAGTGAATAGTTACAGTTTTATTATTACACAGCTTGATAATGATTTGATGACGGTTGTTTCCTTTGGTCTCATCTCAGGGCGACTTTGAGGCTGGAAAATACAGATGTCTGATCTGCAATAAAGAGTTTAACTCTGAAAGTGGAGTGAAGTACCACATCAACTCTGTCCATTCACAGGTAACGACATAGATCACAACAAGTGTCTTAAACCTTTATTATCTGTCTGTGTTACTGTATCCAGACCACATTTAATTAAACCACGAGACCTCCTGTGTTCTCCTCTGTCAACAGGACTGGTTTGTGACAAACAAAAAGGCCTCCAAGAAGTTTGAGAAGTTCCTCAAAAACCAGCCCAAGGAGTTTGCCCATAAGGTGGACAAGCAGATCGTGGATCCGTACCACCATAACCACCTCCAGCATCATCATCATCAGCAGCATCAACACCACCACCACCACCACCACCACCACCATCAGCAGCAGCAGCAGCAGCAGCAGCAGCATCATCAGCTCCAGCACCAACCATTGCAGCACCCTCTGCAACCACTGCATCACCTCCAGCACCAAACCCAGTTTCTCCATCCAGAGCACCAGAACCTCCCTCCGCAGGTGGACACCCAGCTCCAGCAGCCGATGCCCCACTACACCCCGTTAGAGCCTCCTCCCGGGCCGCTGTGGGTGGATATGGACCGGAGAGGAGCGGTACTGGGGCCAGAGCAGGCCTCGATCGAGATGGGAATGGCCGATGTAGAGAAACCCGTGGAGGACAACAGCGGGATGGTGGAGGAGAAAAGGAGAGAGAAGGGGGAGAGAGGAGGGGAAAGGGGCAAGGCTGATGGGAAGCGGAAGGATTGCTTTGCTTTCGGTAGCGGTGGCGGCGGCAGCAATACCGGCAGCTCATCCAGCGAATCAGAGGTGGAGCAGCAGGACAGGCAGAGACAGGTTGACCAGTGGAATCTGAAACGGCCGAGCATCATGGAGCCTCACCCTGACGCTGGAAAGCGACAGAGGAACACTTAAAAAGACACTAAATCTGCAACATCTGCTTCATGTCATGAGTCAGGGCTGATTTTAGAGGTAGAAAAAGAGTGCCGTCCCTACTTCATTAGCTGTGACCAGTGTTTTGTTTTCCACAAGACAAACAGGTGAGAAGGCAGCTGATGACAGAGCTACAGCTTGGTTGGTGGATACAGTGTCAGTGCTGATGTGTGACTATAGACACATTCTGGTTTAGAGGCTGTTTTTACTATCTTGAAATGGTTGTCATTGAATAGCCTTGAGAAATGTAGTATACCGTTTATCTGTGTGTTTATCTGTAACAGAGTCTTCTCACCAACTTTAAATGTGTCTTATTCCTTTAAAACATTTGATAAAACCTTCACGTGTACCGTAAAGGTCCGGTGTGTAGCATTTAAGAGAAATGGAATATAATATTCATAGCTATGTTTTCATTTGTGTATAATCACCTGGAAATAAGATTTGTTATGTTTTTGTTACCTTAGAATGAGCCTTTGATATCTGCAGACGCAGTTGGTCAACTTTCATGGAGTCCGCCATGTTGAACATCTTTCTACAGTAGCCCAGAACGGACAAAGTGAAGTGAGGGAGTTTCAATCTGCAACTACACTGCTAGATGCCACTAAATCCTACACACTGGACCTTTACAGGGAAAACGTTACTTTAACTTTAAGAGAGGATGCTACACTACAGTATTTTGTTAGACTTATGTAGTCGCTCTCTTTCTGAAAGGATTTTGTGCCTCTTCAGTATGATTTGTATAACTTCATACGACTCATCGTAATTTTTACGTACAACTGATTGGCCTTTTCTAACATTGGATGCGTCACTATTCTGGTGATAAATAAGAAAAAGATAAATTCTCCCTGGCTTGGATTCCCCTCACCGACTCCCTTCCTGTATCATATTTTCATCACAGGGGTTTTGACTGAAATTACATTGTTTGACCGTGCTTCCACAGTGAACGCAACTTGGTTCATGGCTAGCATCAAGTTGCCATCCTTGAGCCAAGTCTGCTGGCAGCTTGGAGAGGACCTGTAAGCATCTGTGTAGTGGTTCAGTTCAGTTACTGGAGTTTAAACTGGTGAAGTGCATTTGAAGAACAATGAAGCAAATCCATTAGTATTACATATTAAAGGAATTTAACATTTTCGTACAACGATCGATACCACTCTTGTTCGTTCATCTACCCGGTATTTCTATGCAGAGTGTCTCAGCACAGCTGCCTGGCTGCCTCACTGTGATAACAACACCCCAGGAAGTCACTGCATCCGGCTGTCTTTAGCCAAGAAATATTTACAGCATGTAACAGACCCTTAAGCCACAAATTGCTCCTATTTATGGAGGATTAAACAAACAAGATACAACCTGATACAACCTTGCCCCCAGGCTACAGCTCGATCCTTAAAGCAGACGTGAGAGTGGTATCGATCTTACCTAAATCTTGGAAAGAAAGCAAGAAATCTGTTTATTTCCCAAAATGTTGGACTGTTCCTTTTAAAAGCAGCATCATGTTGGCCTACCTCATTGATATTGTTCTCTTAAAGCTCTCAACGCCCAGTTGTCCAAGAAACAGAAAACAACAAGATATTGAAGCTGATCTCTGTAGTTTTTGAGATGTGTGTTCCTGTGGTTTCCTAAAAGTCGTCAAGATGTGGGAATCTTTGAATTGCATTAATTATTTTTTTTCATTTTAGTTCAACAAAAAAAGTCCATACTCAAAGGCCACTTACATTTGAAAGCCTTAGGTAAAGCTAGTAAGGGGACCTTACTTTTACACGTTTTAATCAGTGTTAAACATTCCACGCAGGACTTTTGTTCACCAAACAAAAGTTTTGGGGGAAACAAAGTAAGCACAGAAATGTGATTGAACACAGACCAATAAATGTGACCGTCAACACATTGTTGAGGAGATGAATGGCATGCTGGTGATGTATCAGTTATGTTACGGTGCAGACGGGGGGTCGGCAAGGACCGACACAAGTGGCAGTCTAACTCTAATGAAGGAAAGCTAACATACCAAGCATTTAACATGGAGGGTGGGCATTTTTTATTTTCTGTTCATTCTACAAAGACAGACCTATTTTTGTCTGTCTCAGAATATTTAACCGATAGCATGTAGCCTAATGTTTATGTACTCTGCATTTTGTATCTACTATAGTGGTGTATGGTTATGGATGGTCTGATTGTCTTTTGTTTGTGATGTTTTAACACTATTTTATATATTTTTTTACAACTTTTTTGCATTTATGAATGTATTTGGTTATTGGTTTCCCCCTCTGTTGTGTACTTATGTTAAGCCAGCTTTTCCTCTAAAAAGGGATCATTCATTTATCATTTGTCTTGATTTGAAACTTTCAAAGAGAAATACCCTTTAATCTGTTGATCTGTCTTTAACAAAATGTGTAAAAAAAAGATAAAAAAAAAGATATTCTGTCAAAAATATTTCCTGTATCTGACTTGTTTAAAGTGCTTTACCCTTCATGGCCCTCCATCAGATGCCTTTTGGAAGAACAGCCTGTGTTGTTTAAGTTAAAAATAGGAAACCTCTTAGTACATGGGAAGCATTTCAAAAAGCATGATTTTATAGAATTCAACTTGCAGTTGTAGAGCATGTTGGAGAACATGCAATTTATACTTACAGTCATTTTACTCGTAGTGATGGGACATATATATTGGTTCTGTTTTTTATTATTGTGAAGCCTAAACCGTCAGCGGTAGAAGAGACAAACTTTCATGGTAGCTCAGTAGCTCAGTTGACTGACAAATGCACATTAAACCAACAGTTTAACCCGTATTCAGCCATTCTCTTGGCTTCGCCCAAGTCAGTAAGCCTCTGAATATGGATTGCTTTAGGTGCTTGGACCCACGTATGCATGCTTGTCTTGTTTTTATTTTCTATTTTCACTTAAACCTTTCATTTAATCACATTTAACTCCTGAGATTGAGTCCAAGCCATGTTACTGTTACTTTAGTCTCTTTGGTGCTAACCAGTTGCTGCATCGATGGGGCTTTTTTCTTATAAGTATCCAGTAATGCTTTATAATAATTAGAATAAGATCATAATTGTAATTATTATTAGTAACCATTCAGCTACCAAGGCAGTCCTCTTTAAATGAAGCAATATCTGCCTGCAACCCATTGTCAGTGGTTGTATGTGTCTAATGGGTTATAACCAACTCAACCAGTTCCTCGTAGAGGTACTAGTACTGCATCCTGTGGTTCACATGAAACAAAGCAAAGGGTTTGAGAACGTCTCAAAAATTCATCTGATTTTGTGTTGCAAGTTTTATTATTTTGTTTGTTTGTTTTCCTGTTGATTGTTCTTCAATTCAAAATGTAAAATCCTTCAGGACCTGGCTTGAAGTTGTCTTGCTGTTGAAATACTTCCCATGTCCACTTATGCTCGTGACCAAATCTCTATCACCGTGCATGCACTTTGAACTGTTTGATGGCACAAAGGAAAGCATTGCTCAGCATTAAGAGACTTTACCACTGTTTTATAAAGCAGCCCCGGTTTTTATCCCCCACATACCTTCTTCTTTATCTTTGAAAATATTTACTTTACTTACAGTAGCAGCTCTTCGTCTTAATGCTGGAGCACAAATCTGTAATGCAGATTTAAGTGAAAATAGTCTGTTTTTTTTGTTTGTTGTTTGTTTTGTATTTTAGTGCCAACATAAGAGTTGTCACCTACTATAGGCAATAGAACCAAAACAACTACATTATGTAATCGAATATAATTGACAATAGAGAGGACTAATGAGAGGCATCCTGAAGTTTTATAAGCCAGAAGCCCTGCAGACGCTGTATGTCAGTGTCCATCCTGTGGGCCGTATACTCGATGTGATGCTGGAAGTGGAAGTAGTGTCATTAACCGTACAGTAAAGGAGCTCTAGAATGAAAATAATTAAAAACTGTTCTCCTGTCTTGTGCCATCACCATCCATACAGAAAATATACAGTATATATATAACCTAGGCCAGATTTGAATAAAGGTTCAGTCTTGTATCATTTGTAAACACATAAAGAAAGAAACTTACAGTTTGTGAGACGTCATTTCTATAAGTGAAAATAGTTATGGTCTCTCAGCCAACCCTGCATTAAAAATCTGTACATTCAATATGTTATTACTTGGGTTTTTTTTAGAAGTTATGTGCTGCTATTTCATAGTACCAGCAGTGTTATAACCACAGATAATTAAAGGTTTAATTCATGGTCATTTTGGGCTCTGTGTCTTTAGTAACAATGACGTATAAACTGTCACAAAGAGAAGCACAACATCCAGTCCCAAATGTCTGCATAGTATTTTCTAGATGTTGTCTGTGCTCACCTCAGCTGGAAAGGTGGGTGGTTAAACAGTAAAATACAATAATCAAATATAAACAGATCACTTATAATTTTGTATTTTTTCCTCTGGCTTTTCGGTAGAATTGATGAAAATATTTAAGACTGAGTTAACAATCATCTCTCTCACAAACAAAATGAACTCGGTCTGTGAAGCTGACTGCTTGCTCTTTGTGCACTTCTAAACAAACCTTCACAGTTTTCTCACAACTTAACTGTAAAAGTTAGAGGGAGTTGTTTTGTGTGTTTTTTCAGTCTACATATTGTGCTTCTCTGAGTCTGTTAAATTCATGATATCCTTCTTTCTCGAATCCAAATACAACAGGAACTCCATTCTTATAAGCTCTCTTTTCTCAATGTCTGAATGTCCTTGTTAAATACTTTACTATGTATCAGTGTTTTTGTATTTTATTGAGGACTTGTTCCTAATAGACAACATGTTGTACTTTGAGACAAACTACTAAAGTCTATTAAAATCAATTGATTTGATTTGAAAACTACAAATAATGACACCTACAGTATAAGGTATTGTTTAAATGCCCTTTGCTTGCTGCTGCTGGCCTGTTGGAGACCCCTGCTAAAATCTGTGCAGGCTCCAGCACGCAGAAAGAAGACAAAAGATCATCAAAAAATCACCTGGAAGTGGACATCATCTTCTCAACTGTATCTATACATGTAGACATTAATGCTAATATGATTGCATAAACATGACCATTTTCTGAAAGACAGGCAAATGATCAACACAAATTGACATATACTTTACTAAGTATCTATTATCTTTTCACTCTTTTTTATTTTATACACACACTGAACACTCGTCCACATGCGAACATGGAGAGAGAGATGGTCTGCCACATTAGCAGCACCCCATGAGCAGGCCAGTGCACAGGAGGTGAAACCGGCACCTCTCCAGCTACCAGTGCACACTCCATACTGTGGTCTGTGGGACTTGAACCGGTGACCCTCTGGTTCCCAAGCCAAGTCCCTACACTCTGAGCTACTATTTATTATTACTACTTCTCTTTCCTTCATCTCCAGTGGCCCATGCTCGTCCTGGCTCTTGTTCGGGGGTTTCTTCGCCGTGGCTCTTCAAGAAGCTCTTCACATCTATTCTGAACTGTTGAAGTACGTATTATAAGGTGTGTCAAGTGCTAGACATCTAAGATTAGTAGTAGTCGTAGTAAATCTAGAGAGCTAGTAGGTTTTTTAATTTCTTTTTTAGCCCCTACCCCCTTCCGAGGCTGCCACTGTGAAAAAAGAAACAGTTCTTAATGTTTTGCCTAATTAAATAAAGGCTAAATGAAACATAAATGAATAAAAAGTACTCTACTGCTTATGTATTCTTGCTTTTAATGATCATTGTGGAAGATATGCTTCTTGTAGGACACATTCTCATCCTCTGTGGGCCTCGTTCTCCACAGGGGTTTAATCCACCTTTATATTATAAACAATCTGTACAGTACAGTGCTTCCAGCATCCACACTCAATAATAATAAGATAAAATAAGATTATAAGACATTATTGATCCCACACTGGGGAAATTCACTCACTACAGCAGCTCCAGATGCAACATAACAGATAATAAAATACACAATAAATAGAAATTAAAAAGTTATATGTAGACTTTATGCAGCTTTTTATTTACAGATGTGGTTGGAAATAAACCGACACAAAAACAGTATCTGCCCCCATGTTTGTGTTTACAGATTAAATGTACAACGTGAGACTTGAACTCATGACTGCTGCAGCCGGTGACCGGTGTCACTCCATGCTCTGCAGATAGGGGGCGGTGTGGGTCACCATGCCTGTACAGTAACATGGCGGTCTGATGTAAGCGGAATGTGAGTTTCAGGGACCGGAGACAGTGAAAAACACCGCGGGTGATGTTTATATTTCGCCATCTGTGAAAGAAAAACGGCAGGATCTATACGTCGGGTGTGTCCGGTGGTCTTCCACGGTTTCCTTCCCGGTAGCTGAGTTTGGGATTCGATCCCGAGTGGCCAGACTCTAGCTTCCCGGGTCGGGTACGAGGCGTTTCAGCCGTCGCCACCGAGGAGAAAGCCTTGGTTACACGTAGGGTGAGTTTTTAACGGTGTTGGTGGTGTTTCTGACACCGGGGGTCGGTTACCGGCCGATTTAGAAAGTATCACAGCTGCTTAACGTCAGTGTGAGAAGCACTACAGTCCACAGCTACTTTAGCCAGTTAGCGTTAGCTGCGTGGCTATAAGATGTGAGTCAGTGAGAAAACAAACCAGCAACTAAAGTGTATTACTTAAAATAACTTGTGTGTGGCATGTGAAAGGTGCGCCGAATTGGTGATTGGTTCAAAACTATTAGGTATATTAAGTCTGAATCTATCTATTACCCGTGTACACTTAGTAGCACCGACGAGAGCATTAAACTGTCACTTTACTGAATGAGCTTTGGTTTGTCAGTGTCAGACAACAGGATATGTTGGTGATGTCGGTATTATTGCTGGCTCTACGGCACCACGTTTCCACAGTATTTACTTAGTAAGGTGTCAGGCTATGTTAAATACAGTAAACCAGTTCTGGTAATGTTACTTTCTGTCATTACAGGCTGTTGAATTGTGACAATATGACAACTTTCAGTCCAGACCATACTGAAGGAGACTTAAGATATTATGATTAAATATTACTGTATGTGCACAGTCAGTGTATGTACCTGCAGAAATGAAAGAGCCCCTCCAGACATAATTAAGATATATGTACAAATAGTCTGTTTGGAACAATAATGTGTGTCTGATATGTTTATTTCTGCAAAAAGAAAGTATAATTTACACATTAAGATCCTTAAAAATGCATCTACTAATTCCTACTTCGCTGTAAAGTCCATTCTCAGTGGATGTGCACGCTTGTTTCAGTTGCATACTGGACCAGGCATGACTACCAAGTATTTGGGATGTCACAAATATTGCTCAAAGGCCCCCAAATTAGATTTTCAGTGAGGACAGAGAAACCTCCACTTCCAGCAATGAATGTGAAAACATCTTTTTAGGGTCAAACTCTGCACACAAGGAGAATGAAACATATCTTTTGAGTGCAGGCGAACCTTTAATGTTTGTTTAATTGTACCATATTTTACAAATATTGTGGTAGTATTCAAAAAAAAAGGTTAATTGATGTTATACCTGTCTTAATTTATGTCTCTTGTCTGAGCAGCAGCAAGGCCAGAGTGAGGAGAAACTTGCTCCACACATGAGGAGGCATCTGACAAAACAACCACAACACAAGAAACCCAAAGCTTATGGATCCCATTGACTCCGGACAAGGTTTCCATACCAGCTTTTTTTTAATAAGCTTTAACCTTTAAATGCATTAGATTACTGTCTGTATCTGTATTATATAGGGGGGAAACTAATTTGTACTTGAATTAATGTCAAGATACTGTAGCAATAAGAGCTGAAGTTACAGCTGTGTGGTGGATGGGGCAATTTAATTAAAATAATTTTTTTTTTTAATTTTTTTTTTTTTAATATTATACATACAGATTAACATTAATAATATTAATTTTTTAATATTAATATTAATGACAATTACCCTAAGAAACCATCACAGATACAAACACACTAATATGTACTGTTTTCAGATTATGGTTTCTTTTTGTGAGGATGCAGCCTGTAAGAGTAACATTTAATGAGATGTAACCACATAGATGGTTTAATAGTTACACACGGTTCTTTTGATAAAGCTATATTTGATTTTTATTTATTTATTTAACTGATTTTCATTTATATTATATACTGCACAGCTGTAGAGTAATAACGTCCCTCTCCTTGCAGGGCAAGAGGAGCCGTCAGAGCAGTGTTGTGATTTAACACCCAGCTCCAAAGGACGACAGCGGAAGAAAAATCCCAAATATTTAGATTATGAAACTGATGACAATGAGCAAAATGTACAACAAAAAACACCTAGAAAGAGCTCAGGAAGAGGCGGAAGAGGAGGAGGAAGAACAGCTCCTAAAAAGACTCCAGCAAAGAGTAGAAAAGCTAAGAATGCCACACAGCAGACGGAAGACGGGGAAATAGAGGCGACTGATAAAACACCTCAAGAGTCTGATGGAAATATCTCGGATGAAACTCCTAAAAAGGCCGTTAGAGCCAAGAAGACGCCAACGAAAAAGACTCCCGCCAAAAAAACTCCTGCAAAAAAAACTCCTACTGCTGATGCGGGCCTCCCAGCTGGGGAGGGTGGAGCTACCGTGCAGAAGGAAAATGGGACGACAAAGAGAAAGTATGTGAGGAAGCGGCCTGTTGCAGAGCCGCCGCGTAAGGAGGCTCAGGAGGAACCTCCGGTGGAACCCGTGGAGGAGATCCAACCAGGTGGCCGCCAGAGGAGAGGAGCTGCTAAAGCGTAAGTCACACACAGATCGTCACAGTTTTCAGAGTTTAAAAGTGTTTGTTGCACTTGCAGAAGATGGAGATGGTTGGAGATATCTTCTGTTCTTCATACTTGCAGTTTCTCAAAGGACAATTGGGTTATTCTTTTCTTGTAAATATTTCTCCAGAGCACTGAAGTACCTCCACATTTTGGCACAAGAAGTGCTCAATCATCCGAATGATGAGTCAGGCTCCCAGCCACGGGCCAACAGTGATATCAGCCGCACAGAACCAGACGCTGTCACAGAGCGCAAAAGTCTCAAAGGAAGTAAAGGTACAGTGGAACCACCTCTTTCTCTCAATTCACCAATAACGGCTCATCACAAACCCAAATGAGCTCCTCCACCTCGACTGCCTTGTGTCTGTATTTAAAATATGTGTCACAAACCACAGAGACATTTTGAAAATGTGCTGCGTGGGTGCGTTAGAGTGACATCGTGTTTGTGTGGATGGATGATTTCGTTCCACTCTCAAAA